TGATGATGATGATGATGATGATGATGATGATGATGATGATGATGATGATGATGATGATAAAACCCTTCTAAAGCCCCTTCTCCCCTCCGAGTCAGGTGGTTGATGTTGAGGATGGGGTGGGGCAGCCAGAGGCAGCAAGGGCCCAGTCCTGCAAGGCCAAGGGAGTCCGAGCCAAACTCCTCCAGGAAGGCTGGCCACCAGCAGCAGCACAGTCACACTGTGGGATGGCAGATGACAAAAAAGACTCCCCCGAAGGCAGGAATGCTGGTCCGGCTATATCAGCTTCAAAACTAATTGAACGTGTTCAAAAGTGCAGGCACTGAAAAAGGAGGCATTTGTACACAGCTGCACAGGGCAGTGAGATAAACAGCCTAACAGTATTATCATAATAAAGGGAGAAAGTCTATTTCTTTGTTTAACCCAGTACTATGGTGTTCAATATCAGGATCGAGTCAATTTCCCTTTTTATTAAAGACCTTTCACAGTTCCCAGGAACTATGTCCACCACCCAGAACACCAGATCTTTTATTGTATGGTTCATTTCTGTAAAATGGCCAACTAGAGGAATGCCTAGTCATTTATTTCTTGAATTACTAAGGTGTTCACCCATTCGTACTTTAAGCGGTCTAGACTTTTTTCTTATGTACAGTTTATTACATGGGCATCTTATAGCATAGATTACTCCCTTGGTATTACAATTAATGAAATCCTTCAGGGTGTAAACCTTTTTTATTCTGTGGATCTATAAACTATGACATATGCCTTGTATTACTGCAATAAACAAAATGCCCACATAGATGATGTCCTGGGGGGTGGGGTTTCAGGTAAAACACTAGGAATTAGTGATGGTGTAGTATCTTTGAACTCACTTCTAACCAATATTTCTCTTAGATTCTTAGTCCTTTTAAAAGATATCTTTATTCCCTCTTCAAACCCCTCTAGATATTCTAGAATGTGCCAGTATCTTTTTATGCACTTGGTCAGTTGATTTGTTACATGGTCATATGTCAGTATACAGCTTACATGGTTTGCAGGCGTCCTTACTGTTTTGTTTAGGAGATCACTGTGGCTTTTCCTGGTGGCCTTAGCGATACTGTTTTCTATGACCTCATTTGGATAGCCCCTGTCTTTTAGCTGGTCTTTCATCATATGGGATTCCTGCTCAGTTCTCTCTCATGGTGCAATTTCTTTTTAGTCTCAAAAATTGGCCATAGGGGAGATGCTGATGCAGAGGTCTAGGGTGGAAGCTATCAAACCTCTGGTAGGTATTGCAGTCTGTTGGTTTTCTATATAAACTAGTGTATAATTTCCCAGACTCTTTCTTGATGGTGAGATCTAAAAAGTGTATTTCATTAAAGTTGAATTTGGTATCAGATTTGATGCTGTTGTCCAGAGTATCTAGCCACCCACAAAATTGCATCAATGAGCTCTCTGAATCCCTCCAAATCATAAGGATGTCATCAATATATCTGAACCATTTGATCAATTTCCCTTATAAAGGTGTGTTCCAGAATACATCCTATCGTCATATGACTCCATATACAGGTTGGCCAATTCTGGAGCCTTTACACATCCCATAGCTACTCCTTTTATCTGCCAACAGAATTTGTTATTAAATTTAAAATAGTTCCTTTTCATGGCTATCAGGCTAGGGAATGTAGAAAATAGGTGGGAGGATGTTTTTCTGTTCTTCCTAAGGATATCTAATGCTTCTTCCTGAGGTATATTGGTGTATAGAGATTTTACATTCAAGGTAACCAAGATGTCCTTATATTTTATTATGACTCCTTCTAATTTATTAACTACATCTCTTGAGTCTTGAACATACGAGCGAATCTTGGGTATGAATGGTTTCAAAAAGTGATCAATAAATTTGGATAAGGGTTCAAGGACTGAAATGGAACCAGACACTATGGGTCTAGCTGTCACAGGATTGTCTGCCTTATGAATTTTGGGTAGGGTATAAAAAACTGGAATTCAGGATTATGGTCATTAAGTAGAAATGTATACTCTGCATTACTGATACAACCCAAACAAGGCCTTCCTCCAGTGTAATGATCTCTTAAAAGATTTCCTTTGTAGGATCATAAGGGCACGGTTCACAGGAATTCGTGTCAGACAATTGTCTAAGAATTTCTGACTTGTACTCATTGGTGTTCTGAATAACAGTGGCCCTACCTTTATCAGCTCTTTTTATCAAAATGGATGGATCAGAAGAGAGGGATCTAAGGGCGCACTTCTCTACCTTACTCATGTTGTTCCATGGGGATTTACTGGAGTTCTTTAATCTATCCAAATCTGTTAAAACCAATTTCAAAACAAAATAATTCAGTCTGCTCCGTTGAACTGTTTCTTCAAGCCTCTAGTGTGAAACAAAAAGGGCATTCATTTTATAAAGAAGCAGAAAGATGCATGAAATATGAGTTGTGGGGGAAAAAATCAGTCCATTTAATGGTTATTTGTTAAAAAAATGCTAACAGTGCCATACATTGATATTTTAATATAATGACACCAATAAAGCTGGTGAGTTTGGGTATAACTAAACGCCTCATCAAAATAGATCGTTATAATCTTGTATGCATTTTCAAAGTATCTAAGATACTGCCATTTACACTTTTAGTTGTTTCTTTCTTTTAAAGGTTCCCGCGGAAGAAATTCTAAATCCTGATATGTACTGAGCACAATAAAATACTACTGGGTGTTCTGCTTCTTTTTTCCTCCATATTTCAATATCTTTTTGACAACTTAAAAATGAATGTCTTTAGCCATTCGAAGGCTAAAACCAGGTAGAGAACACACATATTGTAACAGAGCAATCTTAATATTTTCTCCTGGGAATCAAACACCACTGATTTCAATAACATTTTCTTTCAAATCAGTGGCTGAAGGCATGTAGCTTTTATCTCTGCAAAGAACAAAAACTGTTGTGCTTAGTTGACTTAGGGCCAATTCATCTAGCTAAATTAGAATGTTCAGAACGCAGATTAAATTCTACACAGAAGCTCTATAATGCTGTGTTTACTAATGATAGCAAACAAAATACACCAGCAGGGGTGTGTGTGTGTTTAGTCGTTTAGTCGTGTCCGACTCTTCGTGACCCCATGGACCAGAGCACGCCAGGCCCTCCTGTCTTCTACTGCCTCCCGGAGTTGTGTCAGGTTCATGTTGGTTGCTTCGCAGAACTGTCTTGATGTTCTATTTGCTGCATAACCTCTCTCTCAAGCACCCACACATGCAATGCTGACATATGGAGGTATGTTTACACATATAGAGGCTTCCATAAAACATATACATACAGTATAGAGGCTGCCATACAACACCAGTAATGGAAGATTCTGAACCTCATAGAAATTTGCCACACTGAACTGAGTACTGTATGTGGATTCCTTGAGGTAGAGCTACACAGTGCATGCAATATTGAAGGCAGGATTACTTAGGAAGACTCCATCCCGCTTATGTTTATTATATTTAAATAATATCAAAACAGGATTATGTATTATTACATTGTCATATGCCAATTTACAACTCAGCTGATGCAAAGTTCCTGAAAGAGGGTGGTGTCTGACTATGTTGTGTATTAAACTCTGCAAGGGTCCATTGCATTCAATACAATTTCATATTTAACAAAATGTCCTGTCTTCAACCGTCCTGTTCAGCTCTGGTAAACTCATTCCTCTTTTCTCAAGCTAATTTACTTCTTTGTAATGTTTGGTTAGTCCTAATAAAACACACACCTAACTTTTTCTAACAGACCAAGAGGGCTATGTCAATTTATCATCATTTATTTAACTGTACATCCCACCATTCTCCTCAAGAGGACGGGAGGTGGCTTGCAGTATTAAAACAAAAAGTGGGGACAAAAAAGCAGCACATACCCCACCCCCACGGCAGCCAGGTCCTCAGAAAAAGGCTGCTCGAAGAAAAAGGCCCTTGCTTGCTTGCTTGCAGGAGGACAGCAGAGAGGGAGACAGCCGGGCCTCGTGGGTATAGCGCTCGGCATTAATAGGCGTGAAAGTCAGCCGAGGCCAGAAGCAAGACCCGCTGAAAACAAGGGGAATGAACTGCCATCAAAAAGGCTGCAATCCTTTGCAAAACTCGTTTTTCTGAGCGGGAACTTCAGGGATTAAAATGCCTTCAGCCTTTAGGGGGCGACTGAGTTTTTTTTTAAAGGGGGGCCGAGGTCAGGTTTTAGAAACGGTGGGCCCCTCGCTCCCGTACCTCCGTGACCCCTTCGCCGTGAGTACCTCACCCGTTTCGCCTCAGCACCAACCGTTAACGGGACGGAAAAGGGGGCAAGCTCAAAGAAGAAACACACACGTTTTATTCGAAACCGCAGCAGAAGGTTACTTCCCCTCCCTTCCGGACATGCCCACACCCTCCCCCTGCTCACCGTGAAACGTAACCGAGCCTCCGGCAAGCTGAACAGCGTCGGCGGCGACATAGTCGTCTCTCTTGAGAGAGCCGTGTAGCGACCAGGGGCTCGGACTGATGACGCCATCCCTCAGCGCCAGCGCCGCTTGGATAAGACTCCAAATGCCAGCGCCCCCTGCCGGCCGGCGGAGATTGACAGGCCAATGATTCACTGAGAGGACGGGTAGAAGAGGCGGGGCTTTCTCTCCGACGGGGAGGTGCTTTGCATGGCCGGTCCGTCTCTCTCTCGCTCTCTTTTTCCCTCCCTCTCGTCTTCCCCCGAGTCTTCCACGCCCATTGGAGCGAGGAGATTGATCCCTTGGTTAACAACATCATTAGCAATCTGCTTGGTTGGAGACGTTATTTTAACTTTGTTTTTTAATACTGTGAGCCGCCTTGGATCCTTAGAGGAAAGGGAACATATAAATATTTTAAATGCGTTTTAAACATTTCAATACAAATTGTTGCTGTTTTACTTTTCTGGTTATTATAAGAATGAGAAATGACTACAGCTTGTTACCTGAGCATCCGTTCCTGAAATTGTGAAGTGAGACACGCATAGGTCATTTTCCCTATTCAGTATGTGAGCATTAAAAGGAAAAATGTATTTCACATTTCCTAAGTATAATTGCTAGAGGTACTTTCCCAGTTATGTAGCAATAGCACATGCTTCCCAGCCGCGCTTTACCTGCCCCAGTCATCAGTTCTTGATGTGCTGATGTTGAGTCAGAAGCAAGTGCATTCAAAGGCTTGGTCTGTGCATGCTTCAGGAATCTGAGCTTGTACAATTGTCTGTATCATGTCAGGCTGCAACACTACGTTTTAAAGTTTTCTTGTGTGTGTGTGTTTAAAGCAGACAGTAGTGTTCATGATTGCTCCCCCAGCCATACTTCTCAAAATATAAGCTATTGTGCTAAATCATATTTTCATGTGTGTTTTCCATGAATATACCGGTATTTTCCTCACACAATAAGAGGAAAGCATGATGTTTCCCCAGCAACTATCAACACTGCTGCTAAACTGAGAACAACAAAGGCCCAAGGTTGCCATCCCTGCTAATCTCAAAAGTCCCAATTGTTAAACCCTGATTTCACTGCACTACTCTAAACACCTCCTAGCCTTTAGAAACATAAGACCAGCGCTGAAAAATGACTAGCTACAAATACTGTAACTAGTTTGTAACCATAATAAGGAACTAAGCTGAAAAATGACTAGCTACAAATTAACTAGTTTGTAACCATAATAAGGAACTATTACATTGCAAATGTCAGCTAACAAAGAGCAATGCCACTTCTTTTGCAGTGTTGCTGTATTTTTTAGTACGAGCATGTGACTTCTCTAACTGGTGGGAGAAGACTGTTACCTTCCAAGTGCTATCTCATGCTCACTGGAGGATTCTGGACGTTGTATACCAAAACGGCAACATTTCCAAACTCTGAGCATGCTGATGCCATGCTCTTTTGTGGGTGATCAAGCAACAGTGAGGTGAATATGAAAGAGTTTGGCTTGTGTCTAGCTTGCAATATCCAGATTGTATTGTTTTAATAACTAAGATGCAACTGCTTTTGAGAATCTGAAAAGTAAACCATTAAACATGTAACTAATTAATCATTTGGAGATGAACAAACTACGCAACTGTAAATGTATTATAGATACGATAAGTTAAACATGTAACTATGACGGTAATTATTTGGAGATGAACAAACTATGCAACTGTAAATGTATTATAGATACGATAACTAGGTAATTTGAGTTCTGATTTTTATATCTCTTTACCAATAAAAACGAGAGACAAAAGAAAGTGTGCCTCCTTCTTTCACTCTATAATTTCCAAAAATTATATTTCTGAAGCATGTATTCTCCTCCTTCAAGGAGATTGTTGTAAAATCTCCTTCAGATCTGTTGTAGCAGGTGAGCAGACCTTCTCTCACAGCATGTCTATCCCATCCTTTCTCCACACACAACTCTCACTAGCAGAGAATCAAGCTATTGCAAGCACAGCTCTTACGAATTTAAATAAACCACGCCAGAGTTAATCTTTATTTCTCTGGCCACCAAAAAGAATAGTTTAGTTATCATGGGAGGAAGAAATCCATATCCACTGCAAATAAGGTATTATTGTGTAATATATTTGGAAGTGTAAGGAATTATGGGACGCTTTCAATTTTTAAAAAAATCATGTTTGACTGGCCTCTTTGTTCAAAACAACACACCCTTCTGATTTGTACAATGTCTCACTCATGCAGTATTGAGACGAAAATAGTATAACGTGGGCTGACACATGCTTGCACAACAAACAAAAAATAGACCATGTTTGGGGGGGGGATCACTTGGTTCAGCCATCAATTCAGATCGAAGAAAAGAAATTGAACAAAGTCATTGGAGGAGCAGTCAAGGACACTACAGCCTTAGTACTAGCTGGGTCTGCCCACACATTTATTTCTTCTACTTGTTTGTTTTTTGGTAAACATGTATATTACTTTTTCAGGTAAAGGTCTAAAACTAATTGCTATTCCCAGCAGTTGGTTCAGAACCACTGAACCAATTGCTGAGTTTTATGTCTGTGCTTCTAGAAATTCCATTGATTGAATGGGTCTACTTCAGTCGAGACTAGCAATTGGATTTAGGCAAAGGTTTTGTTTCAATAAAAGGCAGAACCCTGGAGAAAGACAATGGCAATTTGTATTATATAAGTTACAATGCCTTGTTGTCACCTTGATTTATTCTGTACCAATCTGTAATTCTGTGAATAGAAGGTGAATAGAAAAGTGTTCTTCTGCTGAGACTAATGCATAGACAAATGTTTCATTATCTGGAGACTGCCATCTTTTCCTTCTGCTAGCTTTTAAAACTACACAGATTCAGATTTAGGTAAGGCTGTTCCACTGTCCTGCTTTAATAAATCACATGGCAAGTAGAGTTGTCAGTTGAAAAACCAAGCCCGATTTATTTCACATTGCTTTTATGGTCTATTGGGAAGCTAAAGGAAATGTTTCTTATTTCTGTTGACACGGCCATCCTCAGTGGTGCATGATCAAATTGTATAGGCCACTGTTTCATAACAACCCTATTTCCTCTTAAATTTTCCAGAGAGTAGCAATATGTTTTCTTATTATGATTAGAAAAAATACAGATGCGCACTGGGAGCATCTATTGGCTGAAATGGAAATGGCAATGCCTTCAGTTCCTTTAAGCTGAAGAGATATGGTTGTATCTGTCCTAGTTTTTCATGTGTTCAGTTTCACAGACTGGAAAGTAACTTGAAAAGTGTGAAGACAATGTGGTGAACAAAGTAGGAGGTACAAGAAATACCCCTGATCATAATTTCGAAAGAAAGGGGGGGGAGGGACCTTCTGGTGTAAAGCAAAACGTTATCTTGAAGATGTGTCCTAAAAAGCACACTCCCACTCAAAACATGGGTACATTGATACACCCTTTACTTAACATGATAATGTAATCTCACTAGCCACTCTGCTCCTCATATAGCATGTTACTAAGGATGCAGAGAAATTGAAGTAAAGCATAGGCTTTGACAGTATCACTGTCTACAAACAATAGATTTGTCATATAACCATTACTAGTGCTGTCCATTTGATTCATAGTGTGGAGGGGGAGGTCCCACTGTATTTAATGGGCTAAATTCTAGATAAGTAGAGAGGTTTTCCCGTCCCTTTTTATAGAATCATATCATGGAGCTCACCGTGAGACGATGTGAGAACATTGCCTAATGTATAGGCAGGGGGCCTGGTTTGTTCTGTTTTACAGGTCCAATCAGTTTGCCTTGGTGATAACACATTGTGATTATTGGACATAGTTATGTCAATGGGGCAGGGTGTTATGCCGCTGCATCCCCTTGGGGGAGTGATTTGGGCCTCAGAGCCAGAGCACAAGTGACGTGGAGAGGAGTCCGAGGCATGCAATGGATACAACTGTGCAGGTTGGCGGCCTTTGGGCAGACTCCACCAGATATTCTGGTTGTGCATCTCGGCGGTAATGATTTGGCCCAACATCCTGGTAAGGCACTGGTACTGGACGTTTTGCGGGACCTGAGATGGCTGAAGACCAGTTACCCTGTGATGAGAATTGTGTGGTCCACAATTGTGCCACATTTGGTGTGGAGAGACACCTGGTTTTTCCTCAACGTTAACATGGCCAGGAGGAATGCTAACCATGAGGTCTGCAGAACTGTCTGCAGTGGCCTAGGATCAGTGATTGGTCACCAAAGGATCTGGATGGATAGGCCTGAGGTTTTTTTCAGAATGATTGAGTCAATCTGTCCAATTTGGGTTTGGATGTCTTCCTTGAAGACATCCGGGGGGGTCTGCGTGTTGAGCTAGATTGGCTCGATGGTGGGCATGGGACATAGTGTTGCCAGTCCCGATGTTGTGGCGGGTAGTGCGGAAAAAACAGATATTTCTCAGTGAGTCCCATTTTTAACTTAAGGTAAGCTAGCAGCGCATTGGTCTTCCCAGGGGTGTGAATTATGCGATTCAGCACTTGGGTGCAAAAGATGTGCTGGGCCACCTCCGGACCAATAGTCATCAAAGGAAGATGGCTCGATGTCTGGGGATGTTTTACTAACAGCCAGCCAGGTTCCTGCTCTCCTTAAGACCACGAGAACCTGGGGCCAGGGACTCGCCCATATGCTGACTGATTGATCTGTTTCCATACTACTGCAGCCCCCCCCTTTGCCAATTGATTGACAAATAATTCTTCTGAATGATTATCAATAAAGTGTGGCCTGTAATTTAATCCATACTTATTTGTCCCATGTCTTTATTCTGGGATTGAGGGGGCAAAGATGTTGCTACTGGAGAAAGAGTTCCCAGATATCTTCTCCAAAATACCAGGGTGTATCCGTTTGGTGGAACATGCCATCGAGACCCAACGAGGAGTGGTGGTAAGGTCCACAGGTAGAACCTGGCCCAGACAATTGGCAGGTAACATTGAGGAAGAGGTTGAGGAGGTGATCCGGTTAGGGGTGATTGAACTGGCGAAAGGACTCTGGTGAAGTTACCCTATCATGGTGGCCAAACCAGATGGGTCGGTGCACTTCTGTATAGATTTCAGGAAGGTGAATGCAGTTTCTAAATTTGATGCGTACCGGATGCCCAAAATTGGTGATCTGCTAGATAAGCTAGGGGGTACTGAGTACCTGTC